GCCTTGCTTCAGTGGGACTTTGGTGCTCACTGAGTCTGCCACTTGAGTCTGTTGCTTATGGATCTGAAGAGTTTTTTCTGGTGTGGTCTCACTCTGACCACTGGGTACACTGGCTCTTGGATCTCCAAGAAGGTGCAAAGTCAGCCACTGCCTGAGGCCACCCAGCAAGAGCTACAGAGAGATATTCAGATTCCTCCTCTTTGTTTGGAGTTTGGAGGTGCCTGGATGAGGCACAGCTGTGAAGCAATGAAGGTTGCTGAGGAGTTTTAGGCCTTCTTTTGGAAGCTCTGGGGTTCTCTGACCCAGCTACAGTTTGACAGGTTTTTAGGCAGAGAAAGGCCAGGCCATTTGTATATAAAAGCCTCTGTGCACAGCTTGGGTGGGGTTGTAAATTGGGTGGGGCGGGGTCTCGGGGAATCACCAGGGCAGAGCAAACCTCAATGGCTGCCAGTCTGCTCTGCCTCGGAGAGGTCCCGGGGTCTGTGTCCCACGGCCCTGTGCAGGAACAATGATCACTGCAAGCACCTCTGCAAGAAAGCCGCCCTCACGTTCCGGCCTGATGCCAGACAGTCCGGTTTCTCTCCTTATGAGTCTGGGTCCCCAAATTCTCACCCAGGACTGGAGTTCAGAGCAGTCAGGAGCTCTTTTCTCCCTCCCAATTGAAAAAGATAACAGCAGAACCAGCTCCCAGCCCCTTTAGCACTCGCCTCCGTACTTCTGACTTCCACACCTCTGCACCTCCTACCTGACTCAAAGCGCTTTTCTCTTTCCTTCTAGCTGTAGAATTTCCACTCAGCCAGCCTTCCCATGGTTCTGGATGATATTCGTTTTGTCTTTTAGTTGTAGTTTTAATGTGGTTGTGCAAGGCAGCAAGTTCAGGTGTTTACCTATGCTGCCATCATGGTTCTCCGCTAGTATATTTTTGATTACTGATTCAACCTCTCTACTTGGTACAGGTCCTCTAAGATTTTATATTTATTCTTAAGTCAGTCTTGGTAATTTGCTTGTTTCTAGGAATTTGTCTATTTCATAGAATTCTCTTATAATTCCTTTGTATTTCTATAAGGTCTGCAGTCATGTCCACTCTTCCATTTCTAATTTAGTGATTTTAGTAGCCGCCATTATTGTCCTAATTAATCTAGCTAAATTATGTCGAATCTGTTCATCTGTTAAAAGAACAAAATTTTGGTTTTGTTGATTTTCTCTGTTGGTTTTACATTCTGTTTTGGTTATCTCTGCTCTGATCTTTAGTGTTTCCTTTCTTTTAGGCTTTGGATTTATTTTGTCCTTTTTCTAGATCCTTATGGTGCAAAGTTAGGTTATTCAGTTGAGATGTTTTGTTTTTTAATACAGATATATATAGCTTGCTTCCTTTAACGTTTGGTTTATTCTACTTTCATTTTCCCTTGTCATTTTTAAGATTCTGTCCTATGCTTCTCTTCTCTATTAAATCTCTTGAGAAATCAGCCCCAACCCTCCTTCTAAACTTGTTTCATGCTGAGCTAAAATAGCATACTATATCCCTCTTTCCTATAGACAGGCCTAAGCCATTCCCCTAGGTTGGAAACCCCAAAGTTTCTCTGATTTTTCTGTTTTTCTTTTTTTTTTTTAATTTATTTTGAGTGAACATATAGGTTTCAAGTGTGTTTCTATGTTTCTCTGTTGTTTTTTTAAATCAAATCAGTCCTACCTTTCTCCTCTCCTTTCTAAAACACTGTTTTCTTTATACTTTCCCAATTCTAAAAAACACTCCATATTTCTTAATGCCTTTCAAAAAATTATTCAGTAATCATTTAAGACACTTCACATTCTAATCTCAGTCTACTTAGCATTCACTGAGTTCCCTGAGTCAAGTGTTGAGACCATGAAGAGCTGAGTAAGACATTATTCATGTTCCCAGAAGCACATCATCCAATGAATAAAATATGTCAACAAACATACCCCAAAAGTCTGCTGACTTGACATCATAACCAGAAAATTGGCATTACTTCGGCATCACCCCCAAGTGATCCCGCAGAGACTTATAAGGGTCCCCAAAATTATGCTTCCCATGGGCCACCTAAGCAGCCTCCAGTTGCAGTCATAAGGTATCTTTCCAATTCTTAATCTTCTCTTCTGGTTCTAGTCCTTCATACCTGCTGGCAGCAGAGCTACTTAGAGTAAACTTGATTGTCCTGCTTACTCCAAGAACATCAATATCCATGACAAGGATCCTGGGCCAGGACATTCCCAAAGCATCAATGCTGGTTACAGGCAGAGTAAAGGGCCTCCTTGTGCCCTCTGGGACACACCACATTACCTGTGCCCCATCCTAAAGCAGCTATACTTGTGGCTAGTCTCACAGACTTTTGAACATTTACAGTAACTTCTAACCTTTACCTTCTCTAAGCATAGTGGCTCAAATCTTTTTTTCTCCTTAGACCTACAGAGAACTATTCTACCATCTCTTCCTCCTACCCCTTTCTCTTATTCTCCCAAAGCAAACTCCTTTCTCCTCACCCTATACCAAACTTCCCACAAATATA